AATTTATAACAAAATTAATGATACTAAGGTGTTGAAAAAAATTACTTTTTCTAATAATTATTTCTTTAAGACCAATATCTAGTAATATCTAGTAATTTTCCGTGTGAACGTTGACAATCGCATCATAAGTCTATCTAATCTTTCTAAATTCGAAAACTCGGAATACGCATGCGTGAATCTCAGCGACAAAAGATCGCGAAATCGCGGCACGATTTCACGGATGGCAAGAGTAACTAGTGAGACGTTCCTAAGATAGGCAACATCCGCTCATTTCCAGACCAAAGTAGACCTAAAACACGCCTCTATCCATTACGGATAATCTACTGCATGTACTCCGTGATCTTCCACACGAGGATTCCCTCGGCTGAAAATCCATGATTTTAGATTCCGCCTACGTGATAGAATACGCCTACGTGGCGGTAGTGTACGTGATCTCTAGAACGAAATGGTTTTAGAATTTCGTCGCCTCTGTATGCTAATCGGGTTCGTTATTTTTATGCAAACGAGAGAGAGGTGGCCCGTGAAAGCTGTTAAAGAATACGTCATAATAAACGCGAACTAATAAACCTCTTTCCCTTTCATTCTTTCTGTTTCCTCTTATTTCATGTTTTATTCCTTGTTTTTTTTTCTTATATATATATATATTATATATATTCTTTATCCTTTTGCTAAACTAGAAACTCACTCCTCTTGAAGTTTCTTGTATTCTATGAATTTTTGTGGTCGGATAAAACTGCTGGTGTTTATTCCTCCAGTTTCGTTCCGCTCGTTTAAAACACTCGTTTATTTGAGAGTGAACAATTTGGATGGAGTAAGGTTGGTTTATTCAAAGGTTGAAGAGGTCTCCGAATTGGAATTTGTGAAGTGGAGCGTTCTTTATGAAGTGAGTTCGGAGGAATCGACTCAATAATAGTATCATTGTAAGTTGATGCATATGTAATGAATTTTCTTTTTTTTTTTTAATTCCGAATATATCTTTCTAAAAGATTAATTAATTTTATTATTTATGATTTAATAAAATCATTGGTTTTAAAGATTTATAATTCGTTAAATAGATTTTTTATCGTTAAGGAATTTTTTTTTAAAAATTTCTAATAATTAATTTAATAATAAATTAATTAATTTAAATAAATTTCTAAAATATTGAAATAAATGAATTCATTTAAATTTTTTAATGAATTCGAATAATTTTAACTCGTTAAGATGTAGAATGTATAATGTATAATACTATAATACTACGAAAAAAAACTTTATGTTGTAAAAAACTTTTTATGTAAAAAAAATATATATATAAAATTATATTTTATATAAATATAAATGTATATTTACATTATAAAACAATTCACTTCTCATCTACTGTATTCTTCTCTAATTGTTTCATATATCCGTGCAATAAAAAAAATCACAAAATTTTTCTAAATTCACTATCCGTTCATAAACAGTACTAGAATTAACCAGCAAGCTCTACGTCACCGGCAGAAAAAAAAACCATGTTAAAAATGAATTAAAAATACACAGCGTAAATGAGATAATTCCCGCGCGTTTTTCAAGCGGTGAAAAAAGAGAAAAAAAAAGAAAAAAAGAAGAAGGTCACGTTGGTCGCTCTTTGAACCGAGAATCAAGCTCGCAAATACCGCGTCAGAGAGTAAGACGAAACGGCGAGGTAACTGGAAGGAGGCTGGCAAATGTGAAGAGTCCCCCTCCACTTTTCCTCTAACTCGGCATCGTGTGTACACTTCACGCTCGAGATGATTTATATCCTCTTGGACGGAGGATCTCGAGGATCTCGAAATGCCTGGTTACTGCAGCGATTCCGTTCGTCCATGCGTGCAACTGGCTAGAATACTTGTGCCAACGTACATAGTTTCCAATATGATCCTCTCTCTTAGCCGCTATATTCATGTGTATACACCCTAACCTTATGCATAGCCCAGATCATGCTATCGGCCATGTTTGCAATGGCGATTATTCATGTTAGTGGAATTTAGACAATAATTATTTAGTCGAAATCAACATTTGATTCGAAACATGGTTAAACTGTGACGGTAACTTCCGAGCTGTTGATCTTTATAGTTTGTTAATCGCATTTTTCTTGTTGAAACATTATTGAATCACGGCTGTTTTAAATGAAGAAATTGAAAGAGAACGCATAGAAGAAGATAGGTTAGTTTATGATACATGATATCTTGATTCATAATTTATAAAATCATTAACAATAATGATTTATTATAAGATTAAAATATGTATAAATAATAAGTAGTTTAATTGGTTAAAAAATTTGAAATATGAAAAATGATTTGATTCGTTTAGTTGAGATTAAAAAATATGGTACTTTTTTTCTTTTTTTTTTTGTTACGTGAAAAAATCTTCCAAAAATATTCGAGTAGCTCTTGATTATTAAAATTCCTATCTCGTCGCATTAGGAAAGCAATAATATATACGAAGTAATACTTGAAATGTTCTGAAGAAAATATAGTATTTATTTAAATGATTCGCTAGTAAATAAAATTAAGCAAATGTAAAATATATGATTTTTCTTTTTTAAATAGAAATTCGAATATATTTTTCAAATATATCTTTCCAAATATGATAAAATGACATAACTATATATAATTTTAAAATGAATTTTAGATTCTCGTTTGTATTGAAATTGCATGTTTCATTTTTTTTTTCTTGTCGCGATATGTGGATCGATTTTTTCGCTATTTTTTATTCGGACAGAGATGAAAATTTACTCGTAATATCCGCATTAGAATGTCGCGATTAATTACAAGTCTCCATGCATGGACAACGATCCGCGATCGATTTCAATTTCAAACTACGCGGTTTGTATATCTGCTGAGTTGAGCAAATGCTCGTCTTTCCACTTCATCCTTGCACATGTTTATCGCGTTCACTAATATGAGTTGATTCGTAAAGAAAATAGATGTTAGTATTCCTAAAGAGATAGATGTTAATCTCACTAAATTTTGAACTATGATATTGACGCAATATGATATGAAATGTTAGTCATAATAAAAGTTAGTCATATTTTAATATAGAATATTTCACTTATACATAATAAATATTATGATTTATCATTTCTTTTTTCTTTATTTTTTTTTTTTGAAATTTTCAAAATCATTAATATTTTTTTTAATAATGATATCTTTTTATCGTTTTATTATAATTGAT